GCAAATTTTTTACCTGCATTTGTGAATTTTTTCCTTAATGAATTTAAATTTTTTTTCTTAACATCTGATGGTATATCATTATCATCTTCTATTTTTCTTTTTTCTGGTGTTGAATGTTTTTTATTTTTATTCTCATCATCACTTTTAATAACATTTGAAATATTAATATTAACATCAATATTTTCATTATTTTCACTATTCCCATTTTTATCTTCATTATCAACATTTGTTGAATAGAATGTGGTACTCATTGTACTATCTTCATTACCATTTGTTGTATTAGTTGAAGTTGAATCATTATCCATTTCCACAATTTTAATTAAATCTTCACCTGATGAAACATCATCAATTTTCAATAATGAATTTTTAAAATTTAAAACAATATATCTTGCTAATAATTTAACATTTTGTCTTTTTTCTAATCTATCAATCCCCATTATAATAATTTCTAATAAATCTAAAATTGTAGAACTTGTTAAATTTGAATTTTCTTTAATATTTTCATCAAATAATTTGAAAATTGGTGATAAAATATTATTTGAAATTATATATCTTGTATAATAATCATCATTTAATGTTATTATAGATTTAATACTTCTAATTGCAGCTAATCTTAAATTTAATTTATGATTTGGTTTTATTAATTCAATTATCCCCAATATTATATGATTTTCAAGGAAAAATGATCTTGATATTGATTTATCTTTAGAACAAAAAATTATTAATTCACAAAGATATATATATGAATCATCTTCAATTGAATCATCATTTATTTGTTGATCTTCTTCATTTTGAATTTCAATTAAAGGTTTAAATAAAATTGGTGCAACTTTTTCATAAAATGCATTTAAAAATTTTGTTGTATCTAATCTATCCAATACTGATTGATCATCAGGTCCAGTTTTTAAAGATTCCATTAATGATTTCATATCTAATAATGATTTTAATGCTTCAAAAGCTTGAATTTTCAAACCTGCATCATTATCTTCTAATAAATAATGTGTCAAGATGAAAAATAAACTCATATCATCAGAAAGTACAATTTTTTTATTATTAAATGAAATGATTGATGGAATTTCATCATCTTTTTCATAATCATCTTTATTAAAAATTGAATCATGTTCATCTTCATCATGTTTTTTCTTGTTATTAGATTTATCGTTTTTATCATCTTTATCATGTTCATTATCTTCATCATTTTCATCATCATTAAAATGATCATCATAATCTTCATATTCACGTTCATCATCAAATTCATTGTGATCATCATCATCATTTAAATCACCATTGATTAACAAAACATCATGTTCAATTATAGTTACAATTAATTCTGTTCCAATGACTCTAATTTCCACTGAATCATCTTTCATTACAAAATTTATAGTTTTAAATAAACCTCTTTTGAGCAAACTTTTGAAAAAACTTGTCTTTTGTTGAGCTTGTAAATTTTTAGCTATAAGAACAAATTGATGAAGTAATTTAATACCATCTCTTTTCCTTATCAATGCCTCATCTGAATTTGAATTTGTTTCTTGACTAGATTCTTCTTCTTTATATAATGCAAATAATTCATCAATAAAAGTCCCCTTTTCTAAAAAATCAATAATTTCCACTTGATTAAAATGAATTAATGTAGAAACTAAATTGAAAGTTGGATCATCTAATAATCTAACTAATACAACATCTTTTAAAAATTGTAATTTATAAGTTTTTTTAATTAAATCTTTAATACGATCATTTTTAACTGGTAGAACTTCTTTAAATTTTGGTATATCTTTAAGGAAATTTCTATGATTGGCCTTATATTGTGGGAATTCAGGATCATATTCTAAAATACCAATTATACCCATCAAATTAGAATCATCTAATATTAATTCAATAATTAAACCTTCATTATATAAAATCAATGATTTAATTAAATTACACAATAAATGTAAAGTTTTAATTTTCCTTTGAGATTCACCTTCATTGAAAATTTGGATTAATTTTTGGAAATAATTATTTGTTTGAATAAATTCTGCAATTGATTGTTTATGAAATGAAGAATTTGGATGATCATTAATACAATTCAATATATACATTAAATCATTTGAATTTGGATTTAATGGGGGTAAATTTAATGGACCAGTCATTAATTCAGTAATATCACCATCTGGATCATTTGCAATAACTGCCACCAATGAAATATTTGGTGAAAATTTCCCTCTTTGACATTTGATTATAAAATCACATAAAGATTCACAACCTTCTCTTGTTTGGAAAGAAAGTGCAATATTATGACCTTCAGAATCCGTCCATACTATAAGAGTATCTTGTTGTCTTTGGAATTGAATAGCACCTTCGATCTTAGCTTTTAATAATATTTCATCTTGATCTAATTCATTTCGAACAATTAAATATGGAACTCTATCTTCATCAATTTCACCAAAGCAAAAACCAGTACCATTATCTATCCAATTTTCACCAAGGAAATATAGTTTAACTCTCCGTAGTATCAAGTGTTTGGGCGTACTATTGTTATTCATTTTGAGATCCAATTCTTCTTCTTTGTTGTTATTGTCATATATCTTCAGCGCTTATCTTATAGATCTTGTGATGATTATACCTCTTTAAAGTCACCGATTGATTGGCAAACTATGATATGCTTTCCTTTCTAAGCGTTGATTATTTCTCTCACTTGATTCAAATGAACATGAACTCCTTGTTGTCCTGTATTCTTCAACCAGGTGTCTTGAGGTTTTGAGGTCTTGTGGGTATATATTTACTTCACGCTTTTCCTCTATCTTTCAATAATAACGGTTGTAAATTGGTGCAATTGAACGAGATTGACCAGGGTAACAAAAGCAGTCTTGATTGAAGTATGAGCAGAGTGGAACACCAAACCAAAACCAGTGATCTAACAAAACACTTTACTAGCAGTCTTTTCCCTTTGATCAAAACAAAAATTTGTGGGTTTTCGTTGTGTTTTCATTTCAAATTTTGACTTAATTTTGGTTTTTTTCGTGATTTTGGAAAAAGCAATGCGAGACTCGGTTTACGGGACACACGACAATAAACTCATAAAGACTAGGAAGAGACGATTGGGAAGGGTTTAATGAGGGTTATAAGTGGTATTTACGTGTTATATAGAGTTTCAATTGAAATTATTGGTTATACATTGTACAAATTTTGAAAAAAAACCAACTTCATACGGTTAAATTCGTTACTCTCTGCTTAGTTTCAACGTTTGTTCAGACCCTTTATAATCATAATAATCAATTCCATACTTCTCAGCAAATTCTTTCCCAATGAATCGACCACCAACAAAATGTTGTGTGTTTTGAGACATATGGTTTGCCACTGGTTTAGGTGCTGTCAAACTAATCAATACGTCTGGTGATCTTAACCCACCAGAGACATAACCTTCATCAACATCCCAACCTGATGGGATATCAACAGATAAGATTGGGATTGTAGTCTTATTAACAGTTTTGATTAGTTCATCAAAAGGTGGTCTTATACCACCTGATGTATTGAATGAAAATCCAAATATAGAATCAATGATTAATTGAAATTTTGATTCAATTGTATGAGGATCTAAGTCAGAATCAATAAATTCAATATTTAAATTCTTTAATTGAGTTTCTAAACCTTGAAATAAAGGTTTTGAAGAACGTTTAGGATAATATATTGAAGGATTGAATCCCCATAGTTTTAAATGTCTAGCTGCAACTAATCCATCACCACCTAGAAGTACCTTTGTTAATAAATTGACACATAATCCTGAAGTACCATATACTCACCATTATTTCCAGGTCCAACTAATACAAGAACATTCTTTAACAATGGGAATGATTTATAAGTAGCTTCTGCAACTGATAATCCAGCTAGTTCCATCTATATATATGGTTTATTGTTAATATAAATGATTGTACCTTAGTTTCTCGGACAATAAATAGTACTCACCAATTGATCAATTGAAAGCCCACCAGAACTCATCAATTCTTGATCAACAGAAGCTGCTAATTTGGCTGATAATACTTTGAATGACATTGTGATATGGTAGCCAGCTGTTTTCAATATTTCAATTGTTTAGCAGAGAATAATTCTAGTTTCAAAGCAATTTTGTCATTTTTGTTTTGTTATCCATAGACACGTTTAGGGCCACTAACAAAATCTGGAGATCCAAAATTGATAGACAAGGTATAAACATCACAAGATTAAATTCAGAACTTATCTTACATAAAAATATTCAATACGTAACGATTCATTAAATTTATATATACATGAGTACATGATTGTATCAATCTAGCAAAAATTTTGCAGGTCATTCTTTCGTTATTGTTCCATCTTTAGGTTCATTAAGTTTATGACGAATATATGATAAATCTTCTTTAATCATACTTTTTAAGAATAAAATTTCTTGATCTTTTGAAATTATATGTTCTTTTAATGATTTTATTTCATTTTGTAATAATTCATTTGATTGATTTATACTAGATATTTTGGTTTTTAATTCTTTTATTATACCATTATTACTACCATGACTACTATTTGAATTTGTTCTTGATTTATTATTATTCCCATTTGAATTTTCATTATCATAACCTGCTAGTTGTAATAATTCGTCTTCAGCATCACCATGTTCCGTGGTCCCAGTTGCCCCACCAGTGGGGTTGCTATCTATGATTGGTTTTGTATCTTCATCAAATTCATCATCATCATAAAGATCCGGTAATGGAGGTTTTAAATTTGCAATACTTGAACCAACAATTTCATTAATTGATTCATCTAATTTGGGGAATTTAATATATTTTAAAATTTCATCACTTTCAGAATTTTTAAAATCAGGTATCCATTCTCTTGGATTATATGTATTTTTTTTGAAAAACTCGAGGAATTCAGTTTCACCATGATTTAAACCATGTTGAATTCTTTTATATTTTTGATATAATTGATCTGGTGTACGTTCTTTAAAACCTTGTCTTTGAGCTTCTTCATTAAATAACAATGCCACGATTTTGAAAAGATCAATTAATACTAAATTTGGATGTTTATCAGAAATGGTTTTATATGCTTTCACGATATATAATGATTCATATCTTGAATATAAAGGTTTTTTAACACCTGCACCTTGTAATTTTCTTGATTTTTTAGGTTTAGGAGTTTCAGATGATGAATCAATTGTTGTTTCTTTTCTTTTCAATGGACTTGAATTTGATGTATTAAGATCTTCTTTTGTAATTAATTCTTCTTTATTATCAGTTGATACTGTGGGTATATTTGAATCTTGATCAATGGTTTTTATGGGTTGATTTTGATCAATTGATGATTCAATTGGTTGATTAGGTTTATTTGTATCATGATCATTATTAATATCAGGTTTTTGTTCAATTTGTTCAATTTGTTCAAAATTTTCATTATTTTGATTGTCCGAAACAGCTGATGACATTATAAAGTATATTGAAAATCACAAACAATGGGTACTAGAAAAACAATAAAGTGAAAATATAGTTAAGGTGTAGTAAATTGAATTGAATAGAAATAATGTATCTTGATTCTCCTTGAATGTTGCTATCTTGTAGTGGTTTTTTTTGTAAATAATGTTTAAATTGATCCAATCAATGCAAAATATTCAAAGTGGTGTGGTTTCAATGCGTATAAGATCCAACGGTCTAAAGACCAACAAGAGTAATCAATTCTAAACGATTGAGATACACAATGGTAGACTCAATTGACTATAATGACTAGTATGTAATCAATCCAAGTAATATTCAATCAAATACATTTTAATAAAAGTTTTAAACAGGAGTAATATTATTCCCTTTCATTCGGTCGTGTCATCACGATCACCTACATCAACTGGTACACATGAACCATAACCTGAGGTGCCAACTGATGAGCCAAAAAAAAAAAACAAAAGAGAGCTAAATCCGATGATTTTTTAAGAGAGAGAATCACGTGCGCGGTCAGGTGATATTGATTAGGGTTTGGAGAATGGGGCAAACAGGGCACTTTTTAAATTTCAGAGATAGCCTCGCTGGCGCAATCGGTAGCGCTTACGACTCTTAATCGTACGGTTGCGGGTTCGAGCCCCGCGTGGGGCTTTCTTCTGATAACTTTTTGCCCAGCGCGCGATTTTTACGTAATCAGTGACATAAGCGAAAATTAAAAAAATTAAAAATTTCCTAATTGAGGTTTAATTTTTCGCGTTTTGCATTAATTTTTACGTTTTAATTGGGAATTTTCAGTTTTTTCCAACAAGAATCGTGTTTTTTTTTAAAGTAAATGATTAAAATTAGATATACTTAGATCAGGAAAAAAAGGGTTACAAATTACAATTGAATTAGATTTGTTACATAAACATAATTGAATACCGGTTATTGTCATAAGTTCAAGATTCTCATAAAATGTCACAATCTGCTTTAAGATATAAAAATGATGCTAAACGTGGTATTAAATATACTTTAATGATTACTGGTGCTTCAGGTACAGGTAAAACTACATTTATAAATTCATTATTAGATACAAATTTATTACCTCATAGATATCAACCAATTGGTTCTTCAATAGATGAACCTACTTTACTTTCATATATTGGTGATTTTAATTATCATTCAAGAGAATTTAATCCTTTAAAAGAATATAATGAATCAACAATTGCAATAACTTCAAGTAAAATTGAAATTTTGGATGATGATGGATCTAAAATCTTATTAAATGTTATTGATACCCCTGGATTTGGTGATAATACTGATAATGAAGTTTGTTATACAGAAATTGTATCATATTTAGAACAACAATTTGATCATGTTCTTGCTGAGGAAACTAGAATAAGAAGAGATCCAAAATTTGAAGATACAAGAGTTCATATATGTCTTTATTTCTTAGAACCTACAGGTCATGGATTAAGAGAAATTGATGTTGAATGTATTAAAAAAATGTCAAAATTTGTTAATGTCTTACCAGTTATAAGTAAAAGTGATTCATTTACTCAAACTGAATTACAAGGTTTTAAAAAAAATATCTTGTATGATATTAAAAAATTTAATGTTCCAATATTTGAATTTAATTACGATGAAGATGAAGATGATTTAGAAACAATTGAAGAAAATAAATTATTAAGATCTTTACAACCTTTTGCTATAATGGGTTCAAAGGAAAAATATGAAATTGATGGCCAGTTAAAATTTGCAAGAAAATATCCTTGGGGTATAATTGATATTGAAGAAAGTTCAGATTTTATAAAATTGAAAAATGTATTATTTGGTTCTCATTTACAAGATTTTAAAGATTTAACAACAAATTTCCTTTATGAAAATTATAGATCAGAAAAATTATCTTCAGTTACTGAAAAAGAAGAAGAAAAATTTAATGGTGATGTATCTACAGCATTTGATGTTAATAATCCTTCATTATCTAACTTGGCAGCATTAACATTAGATGATAAACATAAAGATATTGATTTAGATAATAATTCTGATAAAGAATCAATTAGAACTCCATCAATGAAATCAACTGGATCATTTTCCAACGGTCCAAGACCTGATGTTAAAACTTCTCCATATAAAGAAGTTCGTGATTCTATTAAAAATGAAAATGAATCAATAATATCTTCAATTAAAAATTCACCAAGAATGCCATATTCACCAGAACCAAGTAGAAATCAATTAAGAACAATAAGTGAAACAGTTCCATATGTCTTGAAACATGAACGTATTATATCAAGACAAGCTAAATTACAAGAATTAGAAGAAAGATCTGCAAGAGAATTAGCAATTAGAGCTGCAGCATTAGAAAAAAAAGCTGCAGAATTGAAAAGAAGAGAAAGAATGCTTAAAGGTGGTGGATTTGGTATTAATATTAAAAAGGAAAGTACATCAACTGATTTATCTTCAATTATAAATCAATCACCATAAATATTATGTGTATAACTACAAATGAAATTTGAACGAACAATTTAATGTATTTATAAGAAGTATATATGTAATTGATCAACTTGTTTGGATATTAAATGAAACACTTGGAAATTTTGTAATTTCTGGTGTAACTATACTTTCCACACCAAAACTTTTCAATACACCTCTAATAATACCAGTGGGTATATAAAGATAAGGTTTTGATTTTAATATTGTATCATTTAAATCAATTGGACTATCATAATTATTAAAAATTTTAAAACTATTATCAATAAGTACAAAAGTACCTTTATGATTTGTTCTTAAATTATCCATTTGTTTCCCATAAATTAATTTCCAAACATCTCTACATATGAATTTCATTATATTTAATAATTCTAAATTTTTTAAAATTTCATTATTTGAATTTTTATATATCAAAATTTCTGAAATTCTAATACCTATACTGAATCCATATTGTTCAACTTTATAATAAACATCTTCACTTTGAATATATTCACTATCAAATATTTCAACACCACCTGCTGTTATGGGAGAGATATCTAGTTTTTTAATTAATTCTGATTCATCATTTGTAGGTTGATCTATGGGATTTGATTGTTCTTCTGTTGTTCGTATAGCTAATGGAACAATTTCATTCATGAGAAGATCAAGACATGTGGAATTGATTAATGATTGAGGTTCTGTGTCCATTGTGCTGATGAGTGTTATATGTAGCTGGGGGATCTTATAATTGGATTGGAAATTGGATTGAGATGAGTTTGTACTTTTAGCTGCTTTCAGCCTTCCAAATGGTTGATGTTTATGTTTCCAATTGAACGTTCAAATTTAAAATCAATATAACAGATATTCGCGACAAAAGATAAAGTATTTGAAGTTTGAACATCTGATTTGAAGAGATTTTGTCATTAAAACACACAAAGGATCGTTAATTTAATATATAGAACTATTTCGATAGCTTTTATGGCTTTCAAAGATCATATTAGTACCTTTTTATTACAATTTACAACTAATTTGAGGCAGTTTTATTGAATGAATTCTAAAACTGGCGTGTGGCCCCTGCCACTATTGCTCTAGTAATCCTGGCAATCACCACGTTTTAAAAACTCAATGTTATT